CGGGTAAATTCAGGTAATTGCTACAGATGGAATGCAAACTAGGCGCCAAGTATTTAACATTTCAGCTTGAATGAGGATATCTACATTACATGAAATGCCAAGTGTGAGGACAAAGACAGTCACTACTGGCCCCTCACTACTAAATATATCTGTTATTGACATAGGGCCTGTGCACCACCATATATGCTATTTTGTAAGTAGAAAGACTAATGCATATTTTCATTAATAAAAATCAAGTTTCGGCAGTTTTTGTGCTAGCTATTTATTTTATGAGGGGTAGATATATATCTAAAATTACATTGATAAACACGGAATTACAGTAAACCCATATTGATGACAAAGTTTCTCTAGCCAGTATTGTTAAAAGGTTTTCTAGAAAAACGAAGTTAGGTGATTGTCATTTCTCAAAACCGTAATTATTAGCCTAGCCCTCTATCCACGCAGAGGATCAAGTCAAAGGATTTATTTGTGGTTGAGCTGCATTGTTCTTGCTTTAGTGATTTCGGATAAAGGTGTTCCTCAGATTTATTACTTTAATTAAACGTTATGGTTTTGTGTTTATATGTAACATTAGACATTTGAAAGAGGACGGAAATGTATTGTCTACCCTGTTCCGAATACTGCATATAGACGAATGTTTTATTAATTTATTTATATAGCGATAGTCTTAAATTTGTATAAGTACATAAGTAAACCTTCTTATTATATAAATATTATGACGGTAAGTTCAAGATACAGTACAAGAAATGTTGACAATTTGTTTTTGATGTTTGTATAAAATGTGACAATTTTGTATGCTGGCAAATATAACTATAGGGGTTCTAGAGTCATTTGATAAAATAGTGAACAAAAGTCACTCATCGAGGTGTTGATCATGTTAGGAAGTTTATCATTCGTAGCTTATATATAGTGAATTCTGATTTTCATATTTCAGCCTGTGCAAGATGTGGGATTATCAGGAAGCCACATACCATCAACGTCAGGATATGAGTATGGGATGCATAATAAATGAACTAAACTAACCACGTCCCAGTAGACACATACAGGAATAATGTTAATTCACCGTTGATTCGTTGAATTAACGCTACTCTTGGACATTATGCCCACTGGAGTATAGGGCCTTCCTATAGTCACAAAGTAACTATGCGTAAGTGCTTACTTTGTAAATATTCAACAATGCTAACTATTGATGTACTCGTTGGAGGAGACTCAAACAATCTTAACTATTAATTATAAAAAGTGTACAAATAGACCTGACCTAGTCAAGATGGATCTACTTTATCTGGTCTCGCTAAACTGTTCTTAACTCTAAAACACATATAAAACTGTATATTATAAACCTATCTCCTGTTTTGTTTTATCTTGTGTATATCTCACTACATATAAAGTAAACTTTATAAGTAAATACTAGAGCCATATTCGAAACATCTGTAATTAACTTCCGAACACTTACTAAATGATTGCAGTGAAATTGATGACAATTTGCTTCAGTTTATCGAGATTCGTTGGTGGTTTTAATCTGAACTTCCGATCTGAAGATAATTATCATATAATATTCTTGAGGTGCTGGGACACTTGATGACAAGGTGTACTTAGAGGCCAATACCGAGCCGGATGTGCCCAGATATTCCTTGGAGGGTAAAATGCAAAGCCTTTTGTGGTTATATTCGTCGTCTGTCAGCGGAAAACTATTTAGTCTTGCAGCAGATAAACATTGTTAGGCAGGTGTTTGGTAAGCACCCGGAAAAGATAGAGCTGGGCCCTCCTAATGTACATAAGCCCAACAGGAAGACTACCGATAACAAGCGACTCAACGATATGGTGTTAAAACGTCCTGTGAACACTGGGTAGTTGAAGAAAATCACAGCCAAACCCCACACACGCGAATGGCCCCACTCGAGCAGTTAGGCAAAAACGCCTTCAAGCGGCCTCTGGTAGAGCAGGTGCCAGACACCCAGAGGGCACTCCAGGAGCCTACCAAGATCCGGCACCTCTCGGCCAAGCAGGCGCCGGACTGTGCCTGTCCGGAGCACCAGCCGGACAACGGGAAAGTCTGTCAACTCACATGTCTGTCACAACTTCCCTGTGAATACATGCTGGCGATAAGTGCGCCAGGCGGCGTAACACTGTTATTGATGAGGAATGCCAAACAGCAATATCGGAACCCAGTGGGTCAAATCATGTCAAGTGTTCCGGCGGCCGCCAAACAGAGTAGGTGTTGAAACATCAAGGATGAAGCGTAATGTTTATGTTGAGCAGCTCCCGCCGCCCGCTCTCAATACTCCAGGGATACCAACCTAAAATAATATCTCTGAGGTTTGATAACTGTAGGGAGTAAATGTGGGTGATTGTAACCTATTGTAACTGCTGCCCACTGGATGGGGGGCGGTGTGCAGGATATCAGTTGTGACATTAGCTCTCCACATATATAAGTTGCTTAACTTGGAGACTGCGTGTGTGTTCAAGAGTATCCTGAGTACTTAAAACATATATTTACCAGTGTAATCACCTGTCAATATATATATATTGTAGTTATTTGTTGATATAAAACCATGCTACAATGTATAATTTATTATTATCTTGCTACAATCTACACTGCCCCCATCTTACGTTAGATTAAGGGCCATCATACGTGTTAGTGGCTTTGCAAGAATGTACAAAATACAAGTCTTATGTAATCTCATCAACCCATTGTACCTTCTTGTGAATAAGTTATTATTATTAAGAGAACCCAATGAAATTGATGTAACAATATACATTAAATTTTCTTAGAAATAGCCTAAGCTACTCTATCCCTTTGAGATGTATTTTATTGTCTCAATAAATGTCAGAAGCATTTCTAGTCATACCAAAAATCAGGACTTTCTCCCAAGAGCTGACAGACTCTTGGTTATTACAGGTTATTTCTAAAGAGCTTTCACTGTGCAAGCATTACGTCCCAAATTCCTTTTAGTAAATGACAGATTGATCAACCTTGCACTTTGTCTCACCTCCATTTAGTCTTATTTATCACGTCTCCTCTCTCCACCACCATTACTTTACTTCTGTCAACATTTACCATTACCAGTTGTCTCACATACACAACCTTTTGTTTTCAATTAATCTCTCTCTCTTTATTTGTTAAAAAAATTGCATCATTTACATCCATCATATTTGATATATTGCACTTTTTTTTGCGTATCATACACCAAGATCACAAATATCTTCAGTATTCTTACCTTAGCCTCACTGATAACCCCATCCTGCATATCTTTATCTATAATAGAGAATGTTTGTCTGTTCAAAGTTACCCTCAATGGAGGCTAGTCTCATTTAACTTTGCAGGGCAAATGTTGATGGGTTGGAATGAGCAGCTTGGGGTTGCCCCCTTCCTTCCACCAGTGAAATTGGCGGAGATTACAGGTGGCTAGCAGTCTCTTAATTTAGAATTTATCGGAACACTTGAATGGTGTAATCTCTCAGGGTTAACCCGGGCACTGCTGGTTACCCCATCTAGTATACTCTATATAAAACTAGCTACGGGACAGGAATGGGGAATTATCATGGGAAATCGACACTATAGCACTTGGAAGGGGTCAGGATAAGGATTTGGGATAAGACGGGGGGGAAGGGAATGGAGCCCAACCACTTGGACGGTTAGGAATTGAATGCCGACCTGCATGAAGCGAGACCGTTGGTCTACCACCCAGCCCAAGTGGTTAGTTAAAAGCTAAGGGAAAATTACACAACCTTGTTCAGTACTTATCTATTCACCTTGTTATATACTTTCTTAAACTTCATAAATACATAAAGAGCATGTACACCTTAGTCTTTCTCAAATATTAGGAGGGTCCCGGTAGTAGAGTATGGTCTGTTCTCAACACACAATCGAGAGTTCTGAGTTTGAATCCCGGGCGAGACAGAAATGGTTGGGCACCTTTCCTTTCACTTAGCAGTAAGTAGGTACTCAGGAGTTAGTCAGCTTGTTTTGGGGTTGCATCCTGGGCGGGGCCAGCAATTCGACTTTTGGGGGATGGGACCTCACAAGTCGGCGTTCAATCCCCGACCGTCCAAGTGGTTGGGCACCATTCCTTTCCCCCATCCCATCCCATATCCTTATTCCTTCCAAGTGCTATATAGCCATAATGGCTTGGCGCTTTCCCTGATAGTTCCCTTCCCTTCCCCCCCCCCCAACCAAATGAATTATTATTATTAATTATAATACCTTCTTCATTATTCCTCAATATAGATATCCTTTTTACACAACGTATCCCACTACAGAACCTACCTTGCTCACCAGTGACCACCTTCATATATATATATCCTGGTAATTAATATACTTCATATTTATTTTATGTGCTTTTCTAATCACTAGTCAGTTATTCATTTAAACCATTACATTTTGTAAACTAAAGCCTAATATAGTAGTTCAGACTCAAAGTTCACCTTTATTTTCAGTGGCACAATTACATTATTTAAAATCTGGTGCAGTGATAATATGACTCCAGAGGAGTGAGGTTTAGCTTTTACCTAACTGAAAAACTTCAAATTGCAGTGTTTCCCAACTCAATGTACATCTCATTTTCCATTTGGCTTCATTTTGAGTAAACATTTGGTCTAATGTTGTTGGTTGGGTCCTCTCCTCTTTCTCCTTATTGGCTTTGTGACAAGTTGCTTTGGTTAGTGTTTGTGTGTTGCATCCACCAGTTTTGCTTTCCAAGAATCATTGCCCCCATCCCCTGGGAAATCGTCCTTCATTACTCAACCTACTTCCTTATGGTTAAAATCAAGCACATGTACTGTATTAGAAGCTTATCCCTTAGCACTGCAGCTATCTCTTCCATTATCATCTTGGAGGTTTCAACTTGTCATATTCCTCCTGTAGAAATATTAATTATAAACAAATTTAAGATTCAGTGGAATTTTGTTTACCAGTATAGTACAGGAATATTGCATAATTCTGTACTTTCAAGCCTCTTCAACACTCCAAACCCAGCAATACAAGGTAAAAATACAAAAGGTGGACAATATATATATAATAAATTCATACATAGTTCTGCTATGATCAAGCCATTCTATCTTCTTATGGGTAAATCAACGTTTGGAACATCTTTTTTGATACAATAAGCCAGGAGATGAAGCACAAATGGATTCTCCATCCATTCATCGAAGGGTTGAGCCTCGGGCCTCGTAGGAAATCCTTGCAGTCCTTGCTTAACTAAGTCTTGTTCAAAGTTCAGAATCATTATACCATTTATTATCTGAAAGGAAAAATTTCTTACCATTTAGCTTCTTAAAAGCATATTTCATTCATTTCAATACAAAAATTATACAAATAATATCTTGTAACTTTTTAGATCTCATTATACCACCCACTTTGCAGTGTTAAAATTTTCAGCAAACATTTTACTTATCTATAATAATTTATTTTAACTTAAGTGTACATCAATATATACACATTTTAGTTGCTTTACAGTAACTGGACTGAAAATATAAATGTTCATATTCCAAATGTTACAAACCTTGATAAATTTAAACTAATATTTGTTTAAGACTGTCTCAATGTAGAGATTAACTGATAGGCTGAAAATTCGTTGAGAGTATACATTAACTGGGAACTGAAGAAAGGATGAAGAAAATTAAAGACTAGTGCAGGGAATAATAATTAATGGTAGCAACAGAATACTCAGTGATGGTGTATTACTGTATAATAGAGAATGGCATGAAGTATATAATACAAAGATAATATGAAGCTTATCCAAGTGTTATAAACCACCAAATGATACCTCTTTGTAGATGTGACAAAAAAATGGAACTCTGATCACAATAAAAAGGTACAGTATTTCTTTATTTACTCACTGAACCAATTATATTAAAAGTTCCAAAACAACTAATCCCCTACTTAGGACATACAGTACAGTATTATTTAAGGTGGCAAGTGAGTAAGTACACTTTCAAGGAAATTTAGAATTAACTGTAGCTGTAAATTTACCTGTTCCCTTGTAAACCCAAAATCAAAAAGTAGCTTCAGCACCATCTTAATGTTAGCCATGCCAAAATGTATGAACTGGATACCAGTCAGCAGTTCTTTAACCTAAAAATAAATAAAAATTAGAAAGGATGATAAACATAAGTAAGATTTATCTCTTGCTTTTTAAATTTGTTACCATTCATATAAACAGTATATTATAGTATTGTATTTAGAAAATATTTGAGTGCTTTATTACATATAATTGCTAAGGAGTCCAAGATCATATAAGCACATGGGCAGCCTCACAGGGAACAAGGATGGTAATACATGGATCAGCATTGTAGGGTCATCAGTGACCAATAGGAATACCAATCGTACAATGCCACTTGACTTGAGTGTCTAACCAGGCGAACTAGCCAGACGAGCCAATTCAGATGGGCCAAACTAAACTTTCTCTTTTTACTTCTATCCCCTAGCAGAGTGTATTGGCCCACTGGGCAGGCTCAACAACCAGATGAAGGAACAACAGTGAATGTATAATTCCATACTTGGCAAACATATGATTGTACATTTGTATTACATTAAGGTAATAAATAAAAACTGCTGTATTATTAAGCTTGCAACTTGACTCCAATATAGATACTGTAATTATACAGAGGGCACTTTCATACATATACAGTGTACAGAGCACTATCATAATTATGTTAAAAAACATAAACATGAATATTCTAGAGAGAATATTAGAAACATTCTTGGTGGATTAGGTGGTAATAATTAGGTTGACATGATTCTGTCGCCGACAGAAGGGAACACACACTATCTTGAGGTTATCTTGAGATGATTTCGGGGCTTTTTAGTGTCCCAGCGGCCCGGTCCTCGACCAGGCCTCCACCCCCAGGAAGCAGCCCGTGACAGCTGACTAACTCCCAGGTACCTATTTTACTGCTAGGTAACAGGGGCATAGGGTGAAAGAAACTGTCCATTGTTTCTCGCCGGCGCCTGGGATCGAACCCAGGACCACAGGATCACAAGTCCAGCGTGCTGTCTGCTCGGCCGACCGGCTCCCTAAGGATCCTGGACTAGGTCCAGGATCCAGTTTTGAAGTCCTGAGGACCTGATTGAACATTACAGAACTAGGTGGAAATTATTTCCAGGCACCGGTAAAAAAAACTGTTTGCGAGCAGGAACATCTGTAGATTTTTATTCAACAGTAGTCAAATATATCAACAAAGATTAGTGATATGGTACTTATAACCTCATGAACAAAATAATGTACAATAAGGTTGAATGATAATGACTTGAAACTGTAAATCTTCTATGTTTAAGGTTGCTAATTCTACACAGATCAGGCCCTGCTTAAACTATCATAACCGTTTAATCTATCATAACCAGCAGTCTTTTCTGACCTGACAAATTTTTCTTTTACCCAATGTGTCTTATATATCTTACATTTCTGTATATGTAAAACTAATAAATTTGATAGTATTAAACAAAATTTAAACTGGTTTCAATTTAAGGCGGTAGTGTTGCTTAACCAAGATTGGCTCACACCTTGCAACTTTATCCTAAGGATAATAAAAATGTCATGGTTAAAAAAATTCTGCCAAGCAGAGGCATATCCATCATCATCCTCATACCTCATCTTGATGGATATTCAGCTCTTCTGCCACATAGGAACACGATTCCAAAGGGGCTTTACGTAAGCGGTTAATGTTCCCACATATACGAGTGTCCTGAAATATTAATTTGATAAAAAATCACTAAAATAACATTTATCACAAATCATTAAAATAACATCTCAAAATACACATTTTCTTTGCCTATGCTTTATAGATTATCTTGGTATGCCCATTTATTCAACCACTGTAAAAAATGCTATCCATTTGACTGTAAACTGCCACATTAAGTGTTTCACAAAGAAGAATACAGTACCAAATGCACAATATCCTCTAAAAACCTGTTTAGCACATTTTCAATACTGTAATAGTTTCTGTTTCCCATGTATGTTCTTTGCGAGTCCATTCTCTCATGATCTACTTGTATACCTTAAAATAGCTTCCTAATATAAATGTAGTTCCCACATTTTTACTACCATTCATTTAACTCATAAGAAAGCCATTTAGGAAATATTTTCTCATACATATTCTCTGACTGACAATACCCTATAAAGTTGTGAACTATATGTTTTCATTAAAAAGAACTTTCTGATATTTACCAAAATTGCAGTTAAGCTAGCCAGTTGTCCAGCCTCAGCAGCATTCAATATCCTCTTGACGGATTTTGAGTTTCGAAGGATAAAAAACAAATGTTCTGACAAACAAATGATCTGACAAGAAAAAATTTATATTTTCAGTTCATGCCTAGTTTATATTGTAAATTTATCTTTTTTTGTACAGTATTTCAAATGCTGATGAATGATACCATAATCCTGCAGCAAATGGACACTTCATTATCACAAACCCAATGATTATATAACACCCTGGCAAGTTTTAGGTTTATCTAAAAGAATTCTCAACATTAGTTTGCTCACATGAATAAAAAGTTCCCATCTACATTGGTTCCTATATGCATGTTAATGCTCAAAGATAAATTGCTTCAAGACATCTACATATATTTTCTGAGTATAAGTGGACCAATTACAATAGGCAAGTGTAATATTAAATGTGAATAGTAAAAAGCTGATTAAAAAAAAAAAGGGGCTGTAATGAAATACCATTCTTTTGTGGCCATTAGTAGCTCTCCTGATACCAGCACTTAAGGCTCTGGTACCAGAGAAACAAATGCTACCAGACCTCTAGATCTGCACAACCCTATCATAGCACATCACCAACTAGTGTGAGTAATGTGCAAATAATTCTGCATCTGATTCACTTCTGGCTAAACAAAGTCACATTCTTAGCCATGAAAGAAGAAGGCTTTGCAAGGAGAATTTTTTTTTTTAAAGAGTGTGAAGTGTCTTAACCTTCTACTTACTGGCCATTCTGGAAGTCTTGATAGAACTTGCAATCTTTCTTCAGCATCCTTGAAGGTATTAATTTTAAAAAGCCTCAAAGCAGCTGCATTGAATTTGAATTTTGTAACTGTCAATTTAAAAGTATACACATTATTAGCAAAAATTATACTACAGTTATTGTATAGATGTATGAAATATAATAAAGGATTATTCTGGCAAACTTTGCAATATGAAAGGATCATTCTGGGGTCCAAAGGAACCCCAGAATGCTATGTTAATGGATAAATTTTACAAAACATAAAATTTGAGTCATATATGAGCAACAATAAACTTAAATTTACTTTTTAACAAAAAACAATACATTATGAATTTGCTGTTATGACTATAAATCAAAAAGAACAATTACAATGAATTACTCTGCTCAAATTAACACTCGCAGAGTGCAAATCTTTCCACTATCAAACATTTCAATTTAATTACCATTAGGGTTTCTTGGTGCCCTTAGTGAGCTAAGGTGCTCACTGAGCTAAGCAGTAGTCCAGCCAAGCCTTAGAGATATACAGCAGGCCTCCCAAATCCATAATTGCTTACTGGGAGAAAGGACCAGAACCCGGTTCTTACTACGAGGTGAAGGAAGCTTCGGGATCAGAAATCAACCCAGAACTCAGAAAACCCCACTAGAAAGCATAAATGCAACTTAAATAACTACTGAAAGAAAATTAGGTATCCAGAGGTAACAAGGCAAATGATCGTTAAAGTAACCATGATGTGCCTGATGGTCTGCTCCTTACTTGTGAGCTGCCCCAACTGAATGCTTCCATCCCACATGAAAGTGGGAAATGGTGTGAGGACAGGAAGGTACTGTAGTAAGGTTTCAGGAAGAACCCACACGGTAGATACCTGAGCACCAGATACTTTCTGGTGCCTTGGTAAAGGCTAGCATTTCTGAAAAGAACAAACCAGGATAATTAAAATGCAGCTAGGGCTTACCCACAAGAGAAAAAGCCAGAAGACCAGAGCTCGGAGTAGAGGTGCACCTACACCTCTAAAAACTTTCGAAAATTGGTCAATTCAGCCAATTTCCGAAATTCACCAAGTGGAGAGACCAAGGGATACCAGAGACAGAACCAAATGCCAATACCAAGGTGGACCACCCAAAACAAACTCTGAGCCTGAATATGAACTGTAGAAGAAAACACTAAGGAAAGCAGCCAAGGCAGCAAGGAGTACCCAAATGGGAGTAAGGACAGACCACCAGTTGGCCTAAACCAAAATCCCCAAAGGGACCCCAGGAAAGCAGGTGGCAAAAAACCTAGAAACAGGAGGCAGAAACTGCTGACACAAAGCCACAGGACCCAAGAACCAGACACCCAGGCCAGAAACTATCAACGTGGGACTGAGGCCCCAACCATAAACCATAAACTCCAAACACTGCCCCAATGACCAGGACTAATAAAAAATATTGAGTACATTGCAGAAAGGATGGCACTCACCGAGTAAAGGGCACACAGCCAAACTAGCTAATGGCAAACAAACTGCAGGGCCCACAGGCCAAAGGGCAGAGGACTAAGCCACCAAAGATCAGGGCGAGGACTCCAGAGAAGAAAGAAAAATACCCAAAATTGCATTGTATACAGTGCTGGACCTGGTATGGAGGCTAGAGGAACACCAAGCCCCCATTCAAAGTGATGTTTCTGCCACAGACAGGCCAGTGATATAACTGCTATTGCTTGAGAAGCCAATCCAAAGCAACTGAACCTAAGCCCAGAACCATGAAGACAAGGAGCAAGGAAAACCATGGGGCCAGGGTAAAACACTCCACACTGGGGGTGTACAGACCATTAGCTTCTGTATGCATTTCTCCTGAAAAACCATGGGAATAAAAACCCAGGAAACACCATATACAATGCCCAAGAACACACAGGCACCACACCCGAGAACAGGGGCACAGAGCCCAAGAACACCCGGGCCCATAGCCCTGCAACACCTGGGCACAAACAGCTCTGTAACACCCGGGGCCCACAGCCTGCAACACCTGGGGCCCACACCCCTGGAACACCCAAGCACATAGCTCCTTTCCCCCCTTCGTAGAGTGCCAAATTATAGTCCAGACTTTCAGAATGCAAGGGTGGGTCTCACAAGCCTAGTGCCACACCCCATGTCACACCCTATGACATGGCTGGATCAGAAGTAATCAGTCACTTATCTTTGGAAACCTAAAGTGGCCACTTTAAGTAGAAATTTGTTATATAAACACTTCCTGTCACTTTGATTATGCTGTAGTTCTACTGCCAATTTCTATAGTCTGACATTGGTCTCAGAGTTTCTGTATTTCCTGTTAACAAATTCTATAGTGCAGAAATAAATTATTCTGTTGTCTTATCAACTGAATCTTACAAAGCCTCATGACATGATTCATGATCTCAGAATCTTTTAGCTATTCATATGTCTATGTTGTGATACAAACATAACCATGCAGCCCATTCTCTCGATTTACAACAACAAACAAAATAAGGGGTACTAAAATGCACAAGCCCAAGCCATCCACCTAACAATCTGCATAAAAAAATATGGACATTTGTAGCCTGCTACTTTTCATGGTACTCCTGATTACGTTAAGGACTGTGACATACAAAAATACGTTCATTAGTTGAGAGAGCAACTTGGACTATAAACACACACACACATACACTGTTAATACTATGAAGGTGAGAGAAAAATAAACTCGCCTTGGTATTTTTCAAGCAGGTTAATCCACCTTTCAATGTTTATAACTGGTATTAGCAGAAGGCTTGGAAAAGCCTTGATGACATCCACTGCAGTTGATTTGCCAATATATGGATAGTTTTCTAGCAGGCCTTTCACTTTTTCTGGATCCAAGTTTAATACAAATTTATTAGCTAGCACCTGTAAAAACAATAATAGTAAGCCTCTCCCTTATGAACTTCTAATATGAAAAGCTATCTAATAACATGTCTATTAAACTAGCCAAATTTAATCTAGTCTAACTCAGACAGATAATTACAGTATACCAAATGGCTAAAAATATGCAGGAAAGAAGTGGGTGTATGTGGATTATTATTATTATTATTACACAGAGAAATCACATTATCGTGATATATCAACGAGATACAAACTATCAACTACCACAGAAGCCGTGATGAGAATTCGAACCTATGTTCAAATTACACGACTAAAGCGTGCATCTGGGAACACCCAGCCCATAGGCTCGAATCCTCATCACGGGTTCCTGTGGATTTTACTATTATTATTATTATTATTATTATTATAGTGATTTAGCTGCTAATAACAATAATTCCAGAAAATAATTTATATAAATACAGTAGTACAAAATACTTACTGTTGAGAAGTCAAATTTTAATGAGGCAACAATAACATCACATATGCAAATGTAAGAACCAAGTGATTTCCAGACGGGTAACCAATTATTTTCAAATAACATTTCAACCTCCTGAATGTCCTTTGCAAACCTGTATAAAAGAAAATATTTAAATACACTTAAATTAAATACAGTACTTAAATCGTTTGACCTTTGCTCAATATTTAAAACTGTTTGTCAAAAAGATTGTCTACAAGAAATTTTTCTGCAAAATAGCCTAATGTGCTTGATAAATTTTCCACTATTTTGTGTGTTTCTTGAGGAGGAGGTTGAATGTTTCTATTTTAGAGACTGCTTGAACTTTTATATTCAAACAAACCTATCAATCTTCAGAAATACATATGTAATAATGCATAAAATGCCTTATGTTGCATTTCAGAGTTTGATGCATTGCTGGTGCTCTCTGCCTTGGGCCATCATCTTCAGCCAGTTTCTCCCATGAGTAAGCCCCCTGGCTGCATTTATTTTGTTTTCAGCTTGGTTCTTTTACAGGATTCCTGGACTCCTCTGCTGAGATGTCATTGTGAGATAGCTACAGGGAAAAACTAATAGAACCGTCCGAGAAATCATGCACTGAATGTAATGAAACTGTTTTGCTTCTTAGAGAATAGTTGGGCAATACTGCCACTAAGGCAAGTGTTTATGTCAGTACTTTACTAAATTATACCCTATCACATTCAATGAAGTGAAAGATGAATGATGCCCACTTATAAATGAATCATAAATAACACACATTTTACATTTGCATATGATCTTCATGTACCCACTGGAGGCAAGGAGGAGGAGTGCCAACAAGCTCATCACCACCAAATACTCGATAGAAAAAAAAAAAGCTAAAAATGTCAAAGCTGGTTTAGATGAAGTTATAATATTTCTATCATGCTATGGACAAAATAATATCTAAATATTCACAGCAGATAATTATATTTTTGGCTTTTGATTATACTTTGTATCCACTTACTGTATTTTAACAGCCTTCAGCAAACCACATAATGTATCCATTTTTGTGGTTATTAAATATGAGCTTTGATGTTGCCATTGTTTGCTGAACTGTCTACTATAAGTGCACTATATTGTCAGTTACCTATGCATTTCAAGTCTAATCACTAAGCCCCTCTAAACACACACTGATGCTGAAGATAAAAATACATTAAATTTTTTTTTAATCTTTCATTTTCCCCAGCTCTTGAACTGTTCACTTTCAGTATTCTTGTTATGCTCATTCTCCTGCAATATTGTTTTGAATGCAAATGTAAGCAAAACTCACCTTAGTGCAAGAAAGTGCTTCAGAAGAAACACATGCAGGTCCTTTAGTGAGCAATTTTCATCACCTTGATATTTTTGAAGAAACTGATCTTGCACTCCCTCAGGAAGTTGAAAGACCTTGGCGATGTTGAGAAGATGACCAACAACATCAAAACTTTGAGAGAAGACTCCATTATCTCTCAAAACACGTACACTATAATGCATGAGTTCCGAGACACTGAAAATAGATAAAAAAAAATAAAGAAAAGAGGACCGAGTGTAGTGAAATGCTCCTTCCTGACCATGACCATGACCCTCGGATGTTCCAATAGCCAGCTCCTGTATGATTCACTTAGACACACACATCACCCTCAAGGCTTCCGAGACTATTATCCCTGTCATGACCAGGGGTGCAGTGCCAATTGTATAGGTGCCAAAGATCTGGTAGGCCTGACAAATGCCTATCATTTCCTATTCTGTTTCTATAAGTATATATGTCACAAGATTAAGTATTTCGTGTTTGTACTCGCTAATTATCATAAAATATAATTATCAAACAAATAATGAACATCAATCATGTATTTATAAATTTAAGAAGTTACAACACTTAGTGCTCACAAAATACAACCAGTGAGAAGTTTCACAATAGTTTCCACAAAGGGTCAGTTACGAGATGTTTTCGGGGTGTGAAGCAACTCTTGTCCTGGTGTCAACTGCCAATCTGTGGTACCGTAGTCATGATATGGCATATGGCTCAGGATTCCACTGAACTAGAGGAGGTCCATGTAATTTAACAAACGTAAGTACTTATACATGATTTATGAGAAGTCTTGAACATGTTGTTGTTATTATCAGGTTCATGTGACTAAATTCCCTCTCACACTCAGCAGTACTAATAGGAATAACTTGCAAACAGCTCAGTAATGGGTGTAAATCTTGGGGGACATGGCATCCATGATCCTCCATAGTCTCTAAAGGCATTTAGTGCAGAGTAAGAAGAAAGCTTAAATATCTTACAGAAAGATAATATTTCAGCTTCTCCATAATTAGGTGGTATATCATCAGGCAAGTACAGTAGTCTTTTTCAAGGACACACATTTCACTTAGCAGTGATTTATACATACTTTGAGGTTCAGAAGTTTGAGAGCCTTTCATGGATGTTGTCGTGAACATACGGTGGTACAAACTGTTCACAAGACTAGTAAGAAACTGTTGATAATTAATGGAGACAATTTTCTTGTTGCTTGTTATGGTAATTCCTCCAAATTTCCCCTTTTCAATTGTTTTTTGAGCTTCTAAGGTTCTAGGTTTCTCTTTTAGTCCATGCAATGACCTTATGGTCCATTGAATCAGTTTGTCTGCATACACAATGGAAGTAGTGCATTTCTGTAGACACTCTGACAGTAAACCAAGTTCATGGAATGTGTCATACATTAGAGCTAAATCCAATAGAAATTATTCTGAAGTTAGCTTTTTCAACAAACCTTCATAGGTTTTTCTATCACTTCCAAATCTTGTTTCATCTATCACTGTTTGTTCAAAATGAAAACAAAGTGCTTCATAATATTACCACACTGCTGAAACTGTTCGAAACAAGCTGGCCACTCACCTAGTGCTCAGAACACGGCCTTCTTTGTAAATCTGTTTTTCAAGTTAAGAGGCACATTCATATACTGTACTTCCTTTTGATTTAGGGGTGATCTACTGTAAACCTAGTACAATTTATCTATAAATGCTTGAAAATGATTAATTGCATGAACTTCTTTCACTGATTCACCTACTGCAAGTTCTAATCTGTGATTAAGACAGTGCCAGATTATTATATCAGTGTAATGTTTCTTGAGATTTGTTGCAATGCCAGATTTGACACCAAGCATGACACTTGCCCCATCACTAGCAAATGCTACAAGGTTCTGTTTCAAATACAGTATAAGTCATCAAACCCATGATAATTGAGACAGCTCAATAGATGCCTGGCAATAGTTGGTGCTTTCTGATCAGGTAGTTCAATTAGATGTAAGAACATGAAATGGGGATTACCTTTCTTATCACTTTCATATTTCAAGTAAACTATCAAGGTTGTTTTAATGCTCAGGCTTGTTGATTCATCAATGAGAACAGAAATTTTGCCATTTATCTGCATGATGACAACTTATACTGCCCATCAGAAAATACCAAAATATTTAATCAAATGAAGTAACTGTATATAGTACTTACTAAGATACTTGAGGCAGTGTGGGCTTAACTATTGAGAGGTCATGTAACACTTGAATACGCTCTCTCAAGTGTCCCGGCTGAAGCAAGAGAATCTCCTTATGCTCCTTTACTTCATCCCAGCTGAAGCCTTGAGACTGTTGATACACCAAAATTATTTTACTGTTTTAATAAGACATCCAGGGCCTAAATATGGTAAGTGTATGTATGGAGTCTTTCCCATTTATCAAATTACTTGTAAATACTACTACTGTATTTCCAACTAAAAAAAAGGTTGAACAAGTCCTCCAAACTGCATAAATTAAAAATTTCCCAAATTTATCAACATATTGAGAAAAAGTATGCAAATGAAAACTTTGTTTTAAAACTAGCAGGTGACCTTGTTTTAAACTTGTTTTAAAACTTGCAGTTCCCGTGGTGCAGTGGTAAGACACTCGCCCGGCGCTTCACGAGCTCTTTGGCCTAGGTTCATATCCTGGCTGGGGAGGATTGACCGGGTGCCAACCCGTAACTGTAGCCTCTGTTCAACCAGCAGTGAATGGATACCTGGTTGTTAAACAATTTAGCAAGTAGTATTCCAGGGAAAAATTTGGATCGAGGAACAGCCCGAAAAGCTATGCGTGCTAGTGGCTTTACAAGAATGTAAGAACTCTTGTACATATATACAAAAAACAAATCTTGGAAGAGCTCCATATAAGGTGGATGCACCTGCCTATACCCTAATGTTTGTTCAACTCCAAGGAACTTTGTTTACTGCTTAACAAAAACTGGGAGACATTAAACACAATTAAAATTAAATTTCTGAATTGGAGACTGTTTTTAAAATAATAGGAAGAAGGAAATAATGATGTAGTCTGGTAGCTACTCTCCACACATTTATTTATTTTATTTAAAGCCTAAACTTCCTGTAGTATTTCATTTCTACACCAGCTCCAAATGTCGGAAAATCCGACACCATATAATATCATACAGACAGAGAAGAGCTGTGTTGTATAAACAAGTTACCCATAGAAAACGTAACTTGTAGTGGAATTACCGTCTAAAGAAAACGGGATATCATCACCACATACTATTATAATTCACCAGCTATTCTGCTGGGAATTATTCTTAAATACATTAGTCTTTGGACTTTACCATCATAAAAACATCTTATATAAATTAACTTAATTATCAATATTAAAGTAGAGTAAATGTGACCCTTCTATCACTTTCTGAAATCTGGACAAAGTAGGCCAGGCGTCAGAGGGAGGAAGGAGGGAGCCATTGTTGTGTCACCTCCGAGACGTGTGGAGCAAATTCGGCTCCTATCATTCTGGACAATGTCGGCCAGTAACGTCAATAGAATGGAGTGTTAAACAGCCATTGTTTATATTGAGACCAGAGGCTCACACGGGAGCAAATACGGCTCCTGTTAATTTTACTTGGACGTAGTGTTATGGAAACCAAAGGTACCATCTCCAACACGATGTCTACAATTCAAGTTAAGTCTATCCGAAACCCGTTTATCATTCATTTATGGCCATTAATGTCAGGATATAGGGTGACCCGGTTAGATCGCGAAATCGCCTCAAACTAAAGGTAATTAAGCCAGGTCTCAATGTTCCATATAGTGTTTTCTCTGAAATACTTGTCATATACTAGGTTTCTGGCTTCACAGCTAGCGCCCTTTTGACAGGTCAAGACGAGGATGCAAGATTTGTGCACCAGTTACTGGGTGATATGGAAGCTACCTCAAAGAGGATAATTTGGTGTCTACACCCTAGTTATACCTGGTGGACTAACCTGCTGTACTATAAGATAAGGAACCTCATCAATGTATGTAGCTATTACTGTAGTTTGATTGGCTGCATATATATATAAACTAATAAACCCCCCCTAATGTGGAAAGGATCGATTTGTGAGATTATGAGATTATTGCAGAAATACAGTCCACTTATCATTATACAAATTGCTATCGAAGTATATAAATTAACGTAAATATAAATTCATATAAATTAAATAAATATAAATCTCACAGGTCGGTTCCCACATTATTTGGTCATCTTCGAACCGGATGACGGATTATTTGATCCTTTGAACCCACATTTGGTCATCTTAGTACCGGATGAACCAGTTAACCAGTGGATTCATTAAATATACTAGTGCAGTGTTATTTAAACAAAGCCAACAGTCAAGACGGCAGCCTAGCCTCGAGGGAGCTCAGGAGCCTCCCTCAGCCCAGTTCAGCTTCGTCAGCGGTTTCATGCACACCCACAGATATTTGGTGGCGTGTTATTCTGTGAAATGACAGAGCTAATATAGAAGCCAGCCAAACTAGTGACTGTGTCTTCGCGAGATTGTTCACGGATTTCGTGGTGTTACATTTCGCGAGAGATTATCTACGAATTTTGTGGACTTTATTTCGCGAGGTCACTAATAATATTTAATACTTCTAGATAATATTAGAAGTTTCATAGAGGCTAATTAAGAGGCTATTATCAATAATTGTGTATATTATTTCTCCAAAATAGAGAATTATTTAATATATATTGCACTAGTGATCACAGTACAATATTTACTAATTGCCAACCCACAACAGGGTAGGATATTAACCATTGACTAGTTGAACTATTATCGTTCATCCTAGTCCCATTATTACCATAGTCAGTTGTACTATATTGAATAACCTAACACCATTAATGAATGGTGCAGACCCTATTTTGGGTGTAATTTTTATCAACTCGAGTTGAGTTGTATATATAATAATTTACTTATGATCATTACACCTTTGAGTGATTAATTAGTGTCTCTACCATCCTAGGGTGATATAGAAGAGCTAACCTAAAGGTACTTCCAGTGACACTGGTTTATCACTCAAATCATTAGTGTGGATGATTGTATATATATATAATGTGTATTAATTTTAAGTGCTAACCTCTAGTAGAGGTAGGATTATTGCCTAGTGAGTTCAGAATTTACCCTAGGCTACCATTAGTGTTTGTTCAGTATTATGAGCAGCCCAAGTACAAGTTCCACAAGGCTTCACCAACGAGCCAGTATGGATAATGCAGGGAGAATGAAAAGAACCCTTGCAGGTCTTAAAGGCCACTTAACAAGACAGATCAAGAAATGTGAAGATTTGTCACAACAATCAACAGTTGATTATGCTGACCTGGAAAGCTATTATCAAGCAGCTGCAGGTAAATTTGAGCAAATCAAATGTCAAATAGCAACATATGTGGCTGAACTTGCCAACACTAATTTATCAGAAACAGAAATAGACGACATTATGGTTGATCTTGCGAATTATGAAGATCAAACTCAGGCCACGTTACAGCCTTATGTCAAATTAATTGCCCAGAACAAGGCAACAGCAACAACAACAACAGTTGCATCTAATACGAGTCAAGCAGAAGCTCGACTCCCTCCAATTAATTTACCCACTTTCTCAGGAAAAGATGAGGAAGATTGGGACGAATTTTGGAACAAATTCGTTGACCTTGTAGACTCAAAACAATCTTTACCAAAGAGTAGTAAATTCTCTTATTTGCAAGGCCAATTATCAGGTGAGGCTAAAACAGTAGTATCCCATCTGAGATTAACTAATGACGGCTATGATCTGGCAGTAAAACTCCTCAAGGATAATTATGCTGATCCAGAAGTAAGAACATCACATTTAGTTCATGAGCTGTTGCATTTACCCCCACCGGAGGCTTCAGCTGATTCACTCCAAGTCTTCAAGCTGGAGATAGAATCATTGATCAATGCCCTCAGCCTGACAGCAGATACAAACGGGGCTGAGTGGGTCTTGAAAATAATTGTCCAGGAGAAAATACCTAGGGACATATTGAGACAAATGAGTGCTCATTACAATAAAAGCATCTTATCTATGAATGAAATATCTGAAGGTTTAAAGTCAGTAGTTCATCAATTACGAACACATGACAAATTAAAACCACCAAGTAAACCCTCAGAAACCAATAATAGTAAACCACAGAGTACCAAAGGTACTCCAAATCAATCTAAACAATATAATTCAACACCAAAGTGGAACAGTGGCAGTGTGGGCGTATATGCAGTGGGACCCTCCAAGCCTATAGTTACTGTGTCACCCAAGAACATGACACCAAAGGGTACAGGAAGCTATGGAACATGTTTGTTCTGCAATGAGAAACATTCAATGTACCACTGCTCTAATTTTCCTGATAGTGACGCCCGTGTTGAGCGACTCAAAGATTTGCAACATTGCACGAGGTGCCTCAGGAAACATAACATCAAGGACTGTGATACCCAATTACACACCTGTAATAGGTGTAACAAAGGTCAACACCATGCAGCATTGTGCAGAGACACCAAAACACCGTCTCCAAACCCCAAGGTGGAAGATAGCATTCCCACCACAGTACAGTACTGCAAGGTGCAACCAACAAAGAGTGTCCAATCGGCAAAGTCTAAAGGTAATACGACTTTGCCTACTGCCCAAATTACCATCCTGAATAAGAGGGCCAAGGTCCATACCCGTGGGTTGTTTGACCAAGGATCCCAAAGAACATACATCACTAAAAGGTTGGCAGATGAATTACAATTAAGGCCTGTAGCCCAGATGTCATTCAACATCTCAGGGTTTGTAACAGATGCAGGACCTCAAGTCTACCAGGTGGTACAACCATCAGTACGCTTAGGCAGGTACGTCTGTCGAGTACAAGCCATTGTGGTGGACAAAATACCAGTAGACCTACAAGTTCAAGGTCTGCGAGCAACAGCCAAATTCCTGAGAAATAGAGGAATAAAATTGGCAGATAATATTAAGACTGATCACCTCACTGACTTCGGTCTCCTTGTAGGGACAGACTATTGTCATCGATTCATCGGTAGCCCTACTAAATATCAGGGTATAACCATGTTAAACTCTGCAGGAGGTAAATTACTCTCAGGCCCAGTATCAAGCCTGAGGAGACCTATGCCTGCAGATAAACAATACCAATAGAATCTAAATTTGTCAGCTGATTATATTTCTCCAGTAGCATTATACTAAGGAGATTACAGCTGACTATACCAACAGAAGTTGATGTTAGTATCATCATTTAAAGCTGAAGATGAGTTCATGAGGCCTCAGTGGCAAATCAGTGAACAGTAGCCTAAAACAGCTACAAGTCACTGCGACCAATGTCACTGAACCCACTGCAGTCTCAGAACCATACTTTACTTTAATGATGAGCTATTCAATCTTCTGAATCAATTAACTAAATTAAACCCTAATAAATCTGATGACTGATTTGATACATTTATTATTTAATCAAGATGTATTCCATGGGCCTCAGTGTTTATATATCAGTGACCAGTTACCTGAACAAACTTCAACTTATATCTATGTCACTGATCTCACTGCAGTCCCTGAATCATACTTGACTGTAGTACTTGATCACATCTAGTCTTCTGGGTTAAATAATATGTAATAAGGCTTGAATATTAGCCTTTCAAGAGTTGACAGGGAAATGAAATCGCATTAGACTTCTAACCCTTGCAACTCTAGTACGGGACATCCGTCCTGTACGAACAGACGCACAAATGTGTGATTACTAACTACTAACATCAAATTAATCAAATAATTCGAAGGAGGAGTATCGGTGTTCGTCTGTTCTAAATAGGACTTCGACCCGTGAGCAGCCCCCTGGGGAATTATGTCGGAAAATCCGACACCATATAATATCATACAGACAGAGAAGAGCTGTGTTGTATAAACAAGTTACCCATAGAAAACGTAACTTGTAGTGGAATTACCGTCTAAAGAAAACGGGATATCATCACCACATACTATTATAATTCACCAGCTATTCTGCTGGGAATTATTCTTAAATACATTAGTCTTTGGACTTTACCATCATAAAAACATCTTATATAAATTAACTTAATTATCAATATTAAAGTAGAGTAAATGTGACCCTTCTATCACTTTCTGAAATCTGGACAAAGTAGGCCAGGCGTCAGAGGGAGGAAGGAGGGAGCCATTGTTGTGTCACCTCCGAGACGTGTGGAGCAAATTCGGCTCCTATCATTCTGGACAATGTCGGCCAGTAACGTCAATAGAATGGAGTGTTAAACAGCCATTGTTTATATTGAGACCAGAGGCTCACACGGGAGCAAATACGGCTCCTGTTAATTTTACTTGGACGTAGTGTTATGGAAACCAAAGGTACCATCTCCAACACGATGTCTACAATTCAAGTTAAGTCTATCCGAAACCCGTTTATCATTCATTTATGGCCATTAATGTCAGGATATAGGGTGACCCGGTTAGATCGCGAAATCGCCTCAAACTAAAGGTAATTAAGCCAGGTCTCAATGTTCCATATAGTGTTTTCTCTGAAATACTTGTCATATACTAGGTTTCTGGCTTCACAGCTAGCGCCCTTTTGACAGGTCAAGACGAGGATGCAAGATTTGTGCACCAGTTACTGGGTGATATGGAAGCTACCTCAAAGAGGATAATTTGGTGTCTACACCCTAGTTATACCTGGTGGACTAACCTGCTGTACTATAAGATAAGGAACCTCATCAATGTATGTAGCTATTACTGTAGTTTGATTGGCTGCATATATATATAAACTAATAAACCCCCCCTAATGTGGAGAGGATCGATTTGTGAGATTATGAGATTATTGCAGAAATACAGTCCACTTATCATTATACAAATTGCTATCGAAGTATATAAATTAACGTAAATATAAATTCATATAAATTAAATAAATATAAATCTCACAGGTCGGTTCCCACACCAAAGATGATACAAACATTAGGAAAGTTGAATTAAGGAACCAAGAGCAATGAGGAGAGGCTTTATGTTTTTAGCTTCTAGCTGAAATCTTACAATCCCAACAGTAATGCTGGGGCTTTATAAGGCATTGCCTGTTTCTTAAAAGAATAGTTTTGTTCACATTAAATATCACTACATTAGAAGCATGTCAACAAAAAGCTGAATGTATACATGGCCTGTGACATAAAGTGGTTTTTAATGCATTTAAAATATGGTCAGATGACTTTAAATAGTCAACTTTAAATAGTAGTATGAAAATGCACCCTTCTGAACACAGATTACCGCAGGCATGGTTCTATTATGATCACAATTGCAAATTTGATAGTCTGGGTAACTAGTCTGTAAAAGTCTTCCTTTGAAGATGGAGGTGCTAATTTATGAGGCTGAAGATAAGCAACTTTACCCTACAGAATAAAAATAAACTTAAGCATTTACCTGTAGTATAGATAATGTTTCATCAAGCTGAAGCACAGACACAGTCTTAATTCTTGGGAAGTGGTATACAAAGCTCTTTGCTTCATTGTGGCTAGTCATATTACCTGAAATGAATAATATATACTGTATACTGTATAGAGTATACGTATTTTTAACTTATCTAAAAAACAAATTTTGAGTATTTTGAGCCTCTGAGGACAAAAGTTCTTCTGAAACCTGGTTACCCTTCATGGATTTTTTAATTTATTAAAAATATATACTGATACTGTGATACATAATTAGATACATATATAATGTATGCACAGATTTGCAGATACAGCATATGTGACACACACACACACACACACACTGTATGACCTAAAATTCCAGATGACAATTACACAGAAATCACAACAGCGTGATGCATCAAACGAACAAATCCACAAGGGCCGTGGCGAGGGTTCGAACCTACATCCGAGAGGATCAGTTAAGGCAGCAACTGGGATCCTCTCGGACGTAGGTTCCAACCCTCATCACGGCCCTTGTGGATTTCTTCCAGAAGACAAAGTAAAAACCATGAAAAACCAAGCTTAAAGCCTGTGAAAAATGCCTTTCTAAGTATAGTATGGTAATGTGCTGCTCCAAAAGATCATATACCCTGTGTGCCTTAAACGTTTGTGACTTTAGCGTCAATAAAGCAATAATGGTATTCCTATCACAGGGACTACAACATGCCTCCATGGTCATATATGGTGCTAGGTGATGCTACAGGCAGTACATCTAGCTTGGATTCTGTTCAGAGGCCCCTAGCTCTTCTAGAATTCAAAGTGACATCACATTTGTAATGGCCAATGGAAATCCTGGATTAACCTAACCAGCCAATAACAAGCAAGCTTGCAACACATATCACTATCGGCATCATCACCTTCCCCATCCCCGAGTCCACCATTGTTCCTTCCTAACATACAAATGGCTAAGCAAAAGCAATCCTCAAAGTTTTGTGAAAGCTGAGCAGGAAGGAAATAGAAACAGAAGCAGAATTGTGTGTTCAGAAAAACATTCACTATCTCAAAGTTGTCACGGAAGAGCAAACCCTCTCATGCAAGGTGAATGAGCTCTATCTAGTACCACTCATTTATGATACATGGAGATGTTACTGGTCATAACCTTTGTTGACTATCCTGAAGATTAAAGAAATCAAGTCGTGAAAAGACTACTTAATGCTGCACAATGGCACCAAGGGCATTGTAGTTTAGCCAGATATCTAGCCACAAAGGTTCTGCTTGGCCTCCAGAAACATATGACATGGATAATCTTACAAATCATGGCCAAGGAAAATGCTTCCAAAGTCACAAACTTGCAAGGACCAACTGCTCTGTAATATGCTTTTGGCCAACTCAGTTTCATCAGGCATTAACCTGTGAAACTTGATCCTCAAACATTGAAACTTTCTCTGACCGGAGGAAGTCCAATGCTGTATCCAAAGAGCAAGATTGTGAGAATGTTTAATACAAAAAAAAGGCTCTACATAATTTCAAGGGGAACCAGAGAAATCAAGGCCTAACCCTTACTAAACAAGCTCCAGCAGAACAGCATAGCAAAGATAAGATGGTGTTTGCCATCAGATTCCATGTTCAAAACAACCATGCAAAGAACTATGAATATTGGAATCATTTAAGGTAGTGAATTTTTGTAGAGCCTTCAAATCCACACGTTTCTGCCACTATGAGAGCTGTGAGACTGCATACAAATATTTTGTGACCCAAGATCTCCATACGTACAAATCTATAGGCACAAAAATCGTTAATAGTGAAAACTGTTTCAATCTTGTGTGAGCACTGGATCATGAAATCAGATTGGTATCAATTATCTCACTAAGAACAAAAGGTGGAGTTATATTTCCATGACAGTCAATATTTTGTCTATACACTTTCCAGTCACTATTGACTACCTTACTGAAAATTAGCTGCAGTCCCAATCTGTGGACCTGAATAATCTAACTTTACAGTACAAAATTTATCATGTATTGCCAAAGGTCTGGAACAACAATGCACTTACTGTAATAATGATAAATGATTGAGTACCAGCTCCTAGTGTAATACTTTTTGGTCTGTGTCGATTGATTATTGACCAAAGTCTTTGCACTCTTGCTGATGAGCCTTAGAACTATTGAAGAATGCATCTGCAAAAATATAATTTATAATTAATTTTTAAGTTTTAAGATAATTAAGTTTTAAGTTTTAGTCTAAGTGTTTTTCCCATACCTTGTCCGAAATGCTGTGCGTATTAGTGGCTAGAGGCATTGTATATACTAGCTCTATCTAGAAATCCAATATTATGTTTGTAATTCATTGTGAATGTATGTACTTTTACCTGAATAAACATTACCTTATCTAATACCTCATACCAACTTCAAATATCTCTTACTATTGTTGTAAGTTTTATCTGTTGCATTTGTTTTCAAGTCACAGAGATCCATTTCAAATATTTTTATAATACAGTACACTGAAGATTACAAAATTTCCACAGGAAATTTAATTTTATAATTCTATATTTAAATTATTTTGTAATTTGTAACACCTTTGAATATGTAATCTACTTGTAACAAAGTTTATCTTTAGTCTTTTTAATATGACCTTCTTAATACTGTACTATATATTTGGAATAAAGAGCAGATCCTAATTTTGACTATGAGCAACGTTGAAAGAAATCTGGTAATTTAATAGATTTTATAACATAGATGTCAGTTACTTCTGTGTATCCACGTGCTCAAATATTTTGGGGATTTAAGTTATTTAAATAATGAAAATCATGAAAGGTCAATATGGTACAGTACCACAATAACACAATTGTTTTATTAGTTAAAACAAAAATAGGCCCTATTAAAGGGTCTGAAAAGGACTCACCATAGGATATTTCCATGCTTGCTGGGCAATGAAATTTAACATTTCTGCGGTGACACTGATAAATATCTGGAAATAAAAATGTATTTAGATTCAATCATTATTATATAATTTCCTGTTACTATATTTGAGACAACAACAAAAAATAAAGAACATACAGTATTTATTAAGATGTAAATTTAATACTAAGAATTCTTTTGACCCTACCAGGATTCAAACTTCTGGTGCCTAGTACATACAATACCTAAAGTCACTAGTACGCATAGCGTTTCAGGCAAGGTGAGGTGGGGAAAAAAACACTTAGACTAAAACTTAATAGTAATTGAGCTTAAAGTGTAAATTGCGTTGAAAGAAAAAAATAAAAAGATAAAAAGATAAGATAAAAAAGATAAAAAAGGGTAGAACATGGTAGAAAATAGCCAATATACAAGTTGGTCAACAAACAACATCGTTTAAAAATAGTACGACATGGGTTGACATTTAAGGGTAAGGTAGGTTACAGGGAGTTACTTAGGTAGTACTTAATTTTCATCTTAAACTGGTTGAGAGAGGTACAGCCTTTAACATGATTGGGAAGGTCATTCCACATTCTGGGACCCTTGACTTGTAGTGCGTTTCTAGTTTGATTAAGTCGTACTCTTGGAATATTAAATAGGTATTTGTTTCTGGTGTGGTGCACATGGGATCTGTTACAACCTTCTAGGAAGCTTTTAAGATCAGGATTGACATTACAATTCAGAGTTTTATATATATGGAGTACACATACTACGGGGTATGACAATTCCGGCCCGAATGAGCACCCATGTACTGGAATACGGAATATAAGGAACAGTTGGGCATACAGCTGCAGCTGTACAACACCTGCGGGTAAACCAATGCCGCCCTACACCAGGTCTTCTTCTTCTTGATAGTAGGTGCAGTAACCCAGGTCACAGCCAACACTCTCTGCTGTTTACATTTCTCATACTATACGTTTCGTATACAAATAACAACTTCGTTCACAATAGGTTTCGTATACAAGACCCCCCCCCCATACAGTACATTTAGGTGTTTATTTATCTATCTATTTATTTATTTATTTATTTATTTATTTATTTATTTATATATATATATATATATATATATATATATATATATATATATATATATATATATATATATATATATATATAACTGAAAACTCACACCCCAGAAGTGACTCGAACCCATACTCCCACAACTGGTATGTACAGGGACGCCTTAATCCGCTTGACCATCACGACCGGACAAAAGGAAGTGATAGCCGAGGCTATATGAACCACTTCCCCGCCGGCACTCGGATGGTAATCTTGGGCATAGCATTTTATCAAATCACCTCATTCTTTGGGGCACACGTGAGGAACACAAATGCAAACAAGCCTGAATGGTCCCCAGGACTATATACAACTGAAAACTCACACCCCAGAAGTGACTCGAACCCATACTCCCACAACTGGTATGTACAGGGACGCCTTAATCCGCTTGACCATCACGACCGGACAAAAGGAAGTGATAGCCGAGGCTATATGAACCACTTCCCCGCCGGCACTCGGATGGTAATCTTGGGCATAGCATTTTATCAAATCACCTCATTCTTTGGGGCACACGTGAGGAACACAAATGCAAACAAGCCTGAATGGTCCCCAGGACTATATACAACTGAAAACTCACACCCCAGAAGTGACTCGAACCCATACTCCCACAACTGGTATGTACAGGGACGCCTTAATCCGCTTGACCATCACGACCGGACAAAAGGAAGTGATAGCCGAGGCTATATGAACCACTTCCCCACTTTTTTTCAGTTGTATATAGTCCTGGGGACCATTCAGGCTTGTTTGCATTTGTGTTCCTCACGTGTGCCCCAAAGAATGAGGTGATTTGATAAAATGCTATGCCCAAGATTACCATCCGAGTGCCGGCGGGGAAGGGGTTCATATAGCCTCGGCTGTCACTTCCTTTTGTCCGGTCGTGATGGTCAAGCGGATTAAGGCGTCCCTGTACATACCAGTTGTGGGAGTATGGGTTCGAGTCACTTCTGGGGTGTGAGTTTTCAGTTGTATATAGTCCTGGGGACCATTCAGGCTTGTTTGCATTTGTGTTCCTCACGTGTGCCCCAAAGAATGAGGTGATTTGATAAAATGCTATGCCCAAGATTACCATCCGAGTGCCGGCGGGGAAGTGGTTCATATAGCCTCGGCTATCACTTCCTTTTGTCCGGTCGTGATGGTCAAGCGGATTAAGGCGTCCCTGTACATACCAGTTGTGGGAGTATGGGTTCGAGTCACTTCTGGGGTGTGAGTTTTCAGTTGTATATAGTCCTGGGGACCATTCAGGCTTGTTTGCATATATATATATATATATATATATATATATATATATATATATATATATATATATATATATATATATATATATATATATATATATATATATATATATATATATATTGTTGAATATGACCGAAAAGGTAAGATTAATAATTCTAACACTAATTTTCTCAATATTTCTTATGTTTTTCTTCGCTGTCAGTGGTAATGGAAATATCAATTCTCCAGAATTCATTTTTATTTATGGTCTGACGCCTGAACGCATTTCGTATTGGCTTATTACATTTTCAAAGACTTAATTTACACTCAAAATTCATCATACATATACTGTATAGGGTTATCTTATCTTGAGATAAAAAGCTAATTTTGGGTGAGTTAAAAAAAAGCTAGGGTGAGGTGATATGATACAAAAGTTTTGGGTGAGGTGAGCAAACTTGTGACAAACCCAAGACAGAACACAAAACAATGGGAATAACTTGGATATGAGAACATAAGAATGGAAGTAACTGCAGAAGGCCTATTGGCCCGTACTTCCTCTTGCTGCTTCCATATTGGCTCGGGGTCTTGAAGTGAGTAGAATATAGTTGTGCATTAATTGGCTGTTGATTACTGGTGTTGACTTTTTGATGTGTAGTGCCTCGTTCATATCGAGCCGCCTGCTATCACTGTATACCTATTGATGATTTCTGTGTTGTTTGTTAAGATTTCTCTGGTGATGGTCTGGTTGTGAGAAGAAATTATATATTCCTTGATGGAGCCCTGTTGTTTATGCATTGTTAATCGCCTGGAAAGAGATGTTGTTGTCTTGCCTATATACTTAGTTCTTTGGGGCTTACAGTCCCACAGTGGGCATTTAAAGGCATAGATGACGTTGGTTTCCTTCAAGGCGTTCTGCTTGGTGTCTGGGGAGTTTTTCATGAGTAGATTGGCCGTTTTTTGTTTTTTTGTTTTATAGTATATTGTCAATTGTATTTTCTGATTTTTGTCTGTAGGGATAACGTTCCTATCAACAATATCTTTCAGGACCCTTTCCTCTGTTTTATGAGCCGTCAAAACGAAGTTCCTGTAAAATAGTCTAATAAGGGGTACAAGTGTTGTGTTGGTTGACTCTTCAGAGGTTGCATGGCGTTTCACCTTTATTTTTATGATATCTTTAACAAAACTGTTAGAGAAGCCGTTGTTGACTAGGAACTGCCTTACCCTACAGAGTTCTTCATCGACTTGCTTCCATCCTGAGCTGTGGCTGAGAGCATGGTCGACTTAAGCGTTGACAACACTCCTCTTGTACCTGTCTGGGCAGTCACTATTGGCATTGAGGCACATTCCTATGTTTGTTTCCTTAGTGTAGACTACAGTGTGGAAGCCTCCACTCCTTTCTGCGACTGTTACATCCAGAAAGGGCAGTTTCCCAGCTTTACATGTTTCTGGATGTAACAGTCATGGAAAGGAATGGAGACTTCTACACTGCAGTCTACACTAAGGAAACAAACATAGTTTAGTGTGCCTCAATAGTGACTGCCCAGACAGGTACAAGAGGAGTGTTGTCAATGCTTATGTCGACCATGCTCTCAGCCACAGCTCAGGATGGAAGCATCCTGAGAGTTGATTGAGAGGCGAGACCAAAGGGCCAAAGCTCAACCCCCCGCAAGCATAACTAGGTGAGTACATATATTCGTGACACAGGACTTCCGGTAGACGAAGTATATATGGACTATTATTATTTTTGTTCATGTTGATAAATATATTTATGCATTATGAAATATATATTATAAAAAGGATGTAGAGAAACACAAATTTACAAAACTCTTTTATGAAAAAAGACGGTACCAGCCGATATAACAATTAACACATAAGATGCCATCAAATAACTTATTTATATAATAACGATAACCGGAGGGATACATATATAAATATCGTAGATTGGTCCATTCACCTGGGTTCTAGGAGACTCGAACCATGTCTCCGAACCGTTTTATCGTAGATTGTGTCCAGTCAAGTACACCATTGGAACAAGGCTAGCTCAACACTCACAGTACCGTATGTGACATAACTTGCAGTGTGACATACACAACACAAATTAATGTACAATTTAACAAACAAAATCTATGACTTCACATACCGGCATATATACCCATTAGCGTATATACACCCAGCGTTTGTTTGCTTATTATACATTACAATATATGTGCGGAGAAGCCCACCGCCTCCGCTCAGCCCTGCTCCTTTCCCATTCAAGTCCACTACGGGCTCACCATAGCCCGTGCTACTTGGAACTTACTGCTCAGAGTAGCTGAATCTGAAATAACAACACCGCCTCCAGCGTCCACCGAGGAGAGGTTTCACAAGGCAGTGGGGTTTATCGGTTACTGAGGTCGTCTCAGCGCACAACAGTCGGTTACTAAGGGTAATTAACTACTCTCTCTTAGCTAATGTAAATATATACTGAACGCCGAGACATCCAACTGACACATTAAGGTAATACCTCGCTAGTTATCAAGGCCGCAACTTTCTTAATGATAAACACACAGGTATATTTTATTCGTGAACAGAGATTGTCAAGACCAAAGTAGCCTCTCAGTACATGTAAACATTTAGAATCATGGTACACCTCATGGTGAATAGTTTCACATAAACTCATCAAGGTAGCCCTAGGCCAAGACTGTCCTTTCCTTTTTTACAACCCACAACAGTCGCCAAACTCCCAAGTATCTGTTTACTCTTCGGTAAATAGAGACATCAGGTGCAAGGAGACGTATAAGTACACTCAAGTGTATGATTTGTGTTGTCCTTTGGGAAGAGTGATTAATCAGAGTTGAGTCTACTCACAGGTCAAGATTAATGCGCGGGTATACCTTCCACTTCGGTGCGAGGCCTACAATAGACTAAACTATGCCTGACAATGGTATGCTCGTATATCAGAAAAATCATTCCAAAAATAGACTGCAAGACAATATGGCTCCCAGCATGGCCTGTTGTGATGGCATAAGATCCGTCAGCCATCACATGGCTAGGGAACAGCTGTTTATAAATATTATTCTAAATAATCTATGGTTTTAAAGACGTAATAAGACAGTAATGATTAAATTAACATTGTCTAATTGTTCACAATTTGTTAGCTTCTGAATGGTTACTTTAGAATCTATCATCAAATTGCTAATTTTATTAGTACATTTTTTGGCCGCAACTCTCTCGATCTGAAGAATGGTAATTATTTTGTTACAAATGATTACTGGAAGCAGTGAAGAAAATTGAAGGAAGTTGCAGCCTGAGTGGACCGTTGATCTACAGAGATGGAGAAGACGAGACGATTTCTTCACGAACTCCAATAGAATCATGGGGTTCCTCGCGTCCTGCTGCAGCTCCCGAGGTCAAATGTTCCCCAAACGCGGTTGACTTAATGAACACGCCATTCTGTAGGGAAAAGTTTACTGTGGCCCAGAGTCGCCCCTCGACACTTGGGACGAGCCCGTGTTGTCTCCTCCACACGCAAACACGTCGCATTGCTTTCGATGCGCGGCTCTCATCACGTCATCTGCTACGTGCATGAGAGAGGGTTCTTCATCACTTCCACGATTCAACCTGAGGGTTGTCACAGAAGCATTAGGGGGTGAAGTAGTCTTGGTAGCAGGCTAGATACACTTGTTGCTCCGCCAAAATTATGTGACAAATTAACAAAGTATAACTATATATATGTAGTAGCATAGTTCAGGAGTATATACGTACATGCCAAGGAAAGTGTCAAGCCGTTTCTCAAGAGAATAGAGCAAGTCGTCAGAAGCGTAGGTCATGAGGTGACAGATGATCCTCCTGGAGCAGCGGGAGCCGACCCACGGGGCGTACTCCTGAAAGCGGTGCAGCAAGGTGGGCTCCCCCAGCGGCGCCTCCTCCACCAGCTGCAGACACACCCTCATCATTATATTCTCCCTAGCCTCATACATCCTAGCCTCATACATCCTAGCCTCATACATCCTAGCCTCATAAATCCTAGCCTCATACATCCTAGCCTCATACATCTTAGCCTCATATATCTTAGCCTCATATATCCTAGCCTCATACATCCTAGCCTCATATATCCTAGCCTCATACATCCTAGCCTCATACATCCTAGCCTCATACATCCTAGCCTCATAAATCCTAGCCTCATACATCCTAGCCTCATACATCTTAGCCTCATATATCTTAGCCTCATATATCCTAGCCTCATACATCCTAGCCTCATATATCCTAGCCTCATACATCCTAGCCTCATACATCCTAGCCTCATACATCTTAGCCTCATACATCCTAGCCTCATACATCCTAGCCTAGCTACGACTACACGCACTCCAGAGTGTGCGTTAGGGCTGCCATATTATTCCCTTATATCATGCTGTATATACATCATTTGGCTGTTTTAATATTGTTCCTATTAAGTCCTGTCATGTCCTCACTAGAACACACTAGTAGGCTCGTACTAGATTACTATGTATTCTCTATTAAACTGCCGTAATAATGATCCTTTTTAATAATCTTCCATTACACCTCCATAGTATTGGTCCCATTAGATTTGTTGTATCCCTATTAGGTGTGATAATTCGATCCCATTATATCATATTTTATCCCCAATTAGGCAGCTGCAATACCGTTCTCATTAGAGCATGTTGCATCACCCATTAGGCAGCTGGCTGACCTGGTCGAGGAACTCCAGTGACGGGCTGTCGATGGACCGCTTGCCAGGGAAGGTGATGTTGTTTGCCGCAGCTATGGCCAGTCCCAGCAGACCTGGGGGCAGAGTCAACAGTTAAAAGCAGACCTGGGGGCAGAGTCAACAGTCAAAAGCAGACCTGGGGGCAGAGTCAACAGTCAAAAGCAGACCTGGGGGCAGAGTCAACAGTTAAAAGCAGACCTGGGGGCAGAGTTAACAGTCAAAAGCAGACCTGGAGGCAGAGTCAACAGTCAAAAGCAGACTTGGGGGCAGAGTCAACAGTCAAAAGCAGACTTGGGGGCAGAGTCAACAGTCAAAAGCAGACTTGGGGGCAGAGTCAACAGTCAAAAGCAGACTTGGGGGGCAGAGTCAACAGTCAAAAGCAGACCTGGGGGCAGAGTTAACAGTCAAAAGCAGACCTGGGGGCAGAGTCAACAGTCAAAAGCAGACTTGGGGGCAGAGTCAACAGTCAAAAGCAGACCTGGGGGCAGAGTCAACAGTCAAAAGCAGACTTGGGGGCAGAGTCAACAGTCAAAAGCAGACCTGGGGGGCAGAGTTAACAGTCAAAAGCAGCCCGAGAGCAGAAGCACAAGAGACAACAGGGGGCAAGATAAAGATGTGATCAAATAAAACATGATAGGTTATAATGCAACATGTAACATTGCAAATAAACAATACTTAACGGGATATTAAACACGATTCATAAACAATATGTGGCTTGGCCAGAAATGGGGGACAAATACTCATTTTAAATATTTTAGAAACTGATTTGTTTACCATGTTCTCACTAGCTGCTCATGAAATGAAGGAAGAGAAGGGGAGAAGGAAAGTTTGGGGTAGGAGGCATACTATGAATAAGAGAATAGACATGGAAACACATTATTAACTGAAATACATAATTGATAAAATGAGAAAGAACTAAGAAGCAGAAAAACACTAGCGTATGAGCGAGAAGATAATGAAAGTACAAGTCAAGAAAGATGGAGAAAAGCTGAAGGTGCACTGGAGAAAGAGGAAGCTTGGCACGCACCGAAGGCAGTAACGGCAGCCGCGCCGGCGACCACAGGCAGGCTGTCGTCCTCGGCGGTCCGACCCAGGTACTTGTTCATGGAGTCCAGCTTGAGGGTGTCAGAGAGGCTGTTCATCCTCTGTGACAGCTGCAGTCGCTCTGACAGCCTGTATCCAGCGCTCATCACAGGCTCCAACACGGGTGATGCCATCTGCAGCACCAAACAGTATACAAGTGGTGAAGCTACACAGGTGTAGCTATACAGATGGTGTACCCAATACAGGTAATGTACCCATTCAAGTGTACCCAATACAGGTAATGTACCCATTCAAGTGTACCCAATACAGGTAATGTACCCATTCAAGTGTACCCATACAGGTGGCTACACCATACAAATGGCTATACCAAACAGATGGCTATACCAAACAGATGTATATAAAGATTTTTCTCTTACTTTCTTTGTACAGGCTTTACCACATAAAGTAGGATTTGGTGTTATCCCTGAATCAGTATAAGTCCGTCATGAATGTTTCCGGAATTACCTACACTACGCTACATTCCCAGCGCTAGTAAGCTCCTCGTGTCACTAGCACACTTCAATTGCACTAGCTCAGACTACTCCAACACCACTAACTCTTGTTTACACTACATCACAACGTCGCCATTAATGCTAACACTGGAAACAACGCTGAAAAACACCCACACATACACATCCGTTCTCGTTACATATCACTGAATAGATATATGGTTAAGTTTACCCTGAAATTTACTTTCTCCAAAAGTAAAAACAAATTCATGATCATTCAGCGCATACCCAGTGCACATGGTTTCATCATAATCAAATGGGTCATTTGGTTGGACCGCGGAACCTTGCTGACAGTCAGTTCGGACCGCGGGACCTTGCTGACAGTCAGTTCGGACCGCGGGACCTTGCTGACAGTCAGTTCGGACCGCGGAACCTTGCTGACAGTCAGTTCGGACCGCGGGACCTTGCTGACAGTCAGTTCGGACCGCGGGACCTTGCTGACAGCACACAGACAAAACTAATGCAGTTCTTCCTTCGTCCACTTACCTCGTAGAATCTCTCGCCCATTTTCCTGAAAGGTTCCATCATCTTCTGGTAGGCTGGTTTCTTAGTGGAGGGTTCCTGGTAGTGGTCGTAAGTGCTGTAGGTAGACGCGTGGTAGGTCACCTCGGAACTAGCCTGATAGCGTCACAAGAGAGGAAGTCAGTGTCATTACTCGCCAAACAATCAAAATATAATCAAGTTGCTACGTAAAGATATGAGGTCGTGGTTTTCTATTCAGCTTTCCAGGTAAACTCAAATATTCACAATAAATTAGTGTATCACATATGTACTTATTCATAAGCAAAATATTGACTATAAGTGCGAGAACGGGTTGCAACATGTGTAGGTACCTGGCTAGCCGTGTCCTTTCCTGGGTGTTGGAGCAGGGCCTGGCTGGTGGGCACCGGGACGGGCACAGTGAAGGCCGGGGCACCGGGGTGAGCCTGCAGTGAGAGAGCTGGTCAGGTCAGGTCACCACTCAAGCCACTAGTCAAGTCAGGTCAGCAACGTGCCTTCCCACGCACGATGATAAATATTACAGACACAGCGGCCATGTTGTATTGGACGATAGAAACTTTGGCATGAATTAAATTTATTATGTACACGTCGTAATGTTTTTTTTAAACATGTTAATGTTTATGAAAATTTGTCATACTTGAAGGTCACTAAGGAACATCAACGGCGCACCGCGTATAAGAACACAAACTATGACTTAGACACATTTGCATTAAAAGATGCTGAACCATAGGCAACAGTGGACGTCTTTGTAAAAAGTTCTTCTAAACCGATTCATAAATAAAAAATTAATTAAGAAGGGATGAGGCATCGTGGGAAGAGAGAACATGTCACCTGGAAGGTGGACTCCTTGATGGTGAAGTGTCCGGGGTTGGCAGAGAACACTGTTCGTGTGGGGCGAGGCGGGGTGGGGCTGGCGGGAGCCTGGGACGACCTCGAGGTTATCTCCAGTCGATGAGGGTCGCTGTGGACGACGACGGTAGACGGAGCAGAGTAGCCGACGGGGAGGGTGTTTGTCTGAGAGGTGCTCAGGACTGATGAGGTCTTGGTGGGTTTGCTGAGGGTGGGAGAAGCCACAAGGGTTAGACCCCGTGTCGGAGGCTTGGCTGCTGACCCAGAGCCATACACAACGTTCCTGTCGCTGCTGGCGGGGGAGGTGTCCTGCGGTGCCGCCAGGTAGCTGTAGCTCACCACCTGATAACGACGGACTAGCTTGAATTGGCAATACATGCATACAAAAACCAGCCTAATTTTCCTTTACGTGATTACGTAGTTATATGTGAAACATGTTAATGTGGCCACACCTGTGTACTCATATATACAAAAAATTTACGATTGTGCAGTCTTAAGTCATCAACTTCTGAAAACAAATTCGCCTTAGTGAAATGAATATTGAATAATTATCTCACCTGCTCAGAAGATGTAGAAATATTATCGTCTTCAACTGATGCTTCAGCAACCACCCCGGCCCGCTTGTTGTCGTAGTAGCCCTTGTAGTAGAAGTCCGGGTACTTGGAAGGGAGAGTGTTGTTGGTGGTCTCCGTGGAGGACAAAGGATGTATTGCTCCAACCACTCCTGACGAAGGTTTGAAGCCTCCCAGCATCTGCAGGTGTAAGTACGGGATGAGACCAGGTGATGCTTGACCTGGTCCTCAAGGTCAAGCATCACCTTGAGGACCAGGTCAAGCGTGATGCTTGACCTGGTCCTCAATGCGTGCTCCTCTCTGCTAATACTCAGCTGTCACCACCACGAACACTGGGTTATGTGCGGACAATCAAGCTCTTTACTTCTACCCATCATATAACTTCAGTGTTTTACTTTATTCCATTAAATCAGATAGTGCTTGGACAGAATTTTCAGGCAATAATTCCCACATTAATTTACTGTGAATATATTTTGTGTATATTTTGTCGGAGCTCATAAGATAACTAATTTATTCCTCTACAGTTAAATTAACTGTCGTATCCAAGCGTTATTGTCCTCTCCTTAGAGATGACAAGACAAGCCTCACAGAACACCTTCAACACTAGCTACTCCTGCCACACAAATGTTCTCTAGAACCACACCATAATAATAATATAATTATTATAATAATTGGAATAAATAATAATATTAACAATAATTAAAATAATATTGCGTTCATAAAAAATATTACATAGGGTCTCAAAATGTTTACATAGAACATATATTTATATTATCACATGAAGACAATCACACGCCTGGCTTCGTCTGTCACCCAGATGTTCTAGTAATTACAACCTTGTGTCCACTGGGAATATTAAAGCACTATAGGCATTGATGACACGTCACAGTGTATAAAGGTACATACTGATGCCATATTGCTCCTCAGCCATTTAAACAATACCACTATCATTATGAGCATAACTATTGTAGTTCTCCCACCTTAGTAGCGGAGGATTGTTGTCGTCCACTGGTCTAAGGTACAGCCTTGCTCTTGATAATACCTCACCCACCTCAGAACTAGAGACATGCTGTTGTTGTTGTTTTACATTCAGCTACTCAGAACATAAAGTTCCAAGTAGCACGGGCTATGGTGAGCCCGTAAAGAGACTTGCCTTGCCTGGGTCACAACTAGAGCCTAAGAACAAGCGCCTGACCCACCTCAGAATTGGAGGCAGGTTGGTGTCCATGGTTGAGCACTCGTGGCTGTCGGCCTGCGGCGGGCCGGTTCGGTTCCCTGTCCACTGACCTGCCCTCTACCTGGTTGGCTTTGACCTCGTCTTCTAATGTCATCAGCTTGTTATTGACGATTCTGTTTCGGGTCGGAAGGACAGAGCAGGAAGGAGTGAGCATAGTGACGAAGGAAACTGTTGCTGTTTGCAAACAGTGACAGCACTTGTTGGGATGGAAAGAAATACAAGATGCAGCATCACAAAGGAACGTGGGAGACAGACAGACAAGAGCATCCTTAAGGAACTTGTAGGACAGATAAATAAGAACACTAATGACAAAAATATTGTTTACTCAAACTTACGAATTTGTTCTTTCGCCACGAAGCTATCATATTACACAAACTGATTCCAATCAACAATTCTGATATATAAGATCTTTATTCCATTTAAGTTATTTTAATCACAGTTGTGTCACATCTTTGTGGCTTCAACAATGTGTACGCCGACCTCAATTCTTGCCAGTTTTACAAGTGGCATATACTAGCATTAACGGACACCATCACAGTGAAATATATAATACTGTGTGAAGCTGGTCACAGCCTAAGAGATAACAACATTTTGACCAAGAATTTTATTAAGAGACCGGCGTCTGTGAGAGATTATTTCTGCGGCGGTTGCGTCAATATCCGGGCCTAGTGAGGGCCTAGTGAGGGCCTAGTGAGGGATTATGGCTGAGAAGGAACCGGAGTCATGGAAAGAGGAACTGTGACTTTACATAACTCCGGTTCATGGGACGTGAACCTGAAGTTGTATTAGAGAGTGAGGTTATATTTAGGACTTGGGTTAAACAAGGCACTGCAGCTATGCAAGGTACTTTGCTCATATTAGGCTCATTGGTAATATAACATGGAGTTTCAACGTACTAATTACGCACATTATATATCACCTGATGGACCCCTCATAACTACATATTTACACCCGGTCTCGCCTGCCAATACTAACACATATGTAACCTGTCACTTGGGCACTGTACCTGGCATTCCTGTATATGTGGACATCACTTGGGTCATCAGGGACCCTGACCCCGTGGATGATGGGGATACCATCGTCCCCCATCTCGATGACTCGGCCCTCCCTCCTGTTGCCCTTCACCGTCAACACCCCCGAGGTCACCTGTGGGGCGCCCCAGGTTAACACGGGTCATCCACATGTTTAGAACGCGTCATGGCGGAGACAAATTTTTAAAATATTTCGATTTAGGGACAAATGGGAACATCGGATTGTGGGTCTAAGGTCACCGCGAGGGCGGGCGGTTCAGCGTCATGGAGAGACAGTAATAATAAGAAGGAAGTAGAGTAAAGGTAAGGTCAAGGATGCCATGACGTGGGATCAGGTTTTATACGCGTTTGAATGTAAAGAAGTGGGAGTGAAGATTAGTGGAGTAGGGCAGTGGAGGGGTAGGGAGGTGGGAGGGAAGAGAATGGATGGAGGGAGAGGTGGAGGGGAACGGGAGAGGGTTGTGTTAGAATTAATACTCGTCTGTGATAAATTAGCAATTGCAAATACATATTAACAGAGAAAACAAGGAAACTTATATGTAAAAACAAAAGTTTAAATAGTGATGAGAGATGTATCCATTATATTCAATATATTGGGTAATACTGTCAAGGTGTATTCACTTAGTAATAACATCTTCATAAAAAATATACAATGTTGCCTAATCTGAGTAATTTAACTAGGTGTTATTACAGTGAGGTGGTGGTGGTATTCACTGTCATACAGGACAGAGGATCATACACAAGACAATAGGCCTAAAGTGAAGATTGAAGCACATACATACTTCATGAGGTTACATTCTATTGCATCAGATATTATGCATGTTTCAGTTAAAGAATTTGTAAATACAACTTTCTATTGTTCACTGCCACACAAGACAGGGATGGATTCATGACATAAGCAACTTAAATAATAAATACAATTATTGTTCTTCATTCCTTAGAATGGACAGGTTAGGACAAATAGTTAGGATGTCTACTGTCTACTGGAAGGAAAGTGATGACAATATGTCCTACACAACCATTGTTTACAAATATGTTCGGGACCTACATCCTGGATGTCAGCATGAGATGTAAAGAAAATTTGTGTGTTTAATAAGAATATACAAGTTGAGAAATCTTGCTTAAACGTCAGCAATATCAAGAGCCGACTACAGGAAAATGTTCAGATATAAGGAAGGAACAGATGCTACGAAGGTCAATTCTATTAAAAGACAACTGCAGGAAATACAGTTGTTAAGAATGACAGATGAAGCAAGACATATCAGCAGCCAGAGGCAGTGACAGCAGTTAATGGTGTTCCAACTGGCTAGTTACTGTGTACCTGAAGTAATTGATCGTCGGCCAGGTATATAGTGACTAGGCTGCTGTGGGCGGCACCTTTTGTACCTCTGTTGTTGTTGTTTAAGATTCGCTACTTGGAACAAAAAGTTCCAAGTAGCACGGGCTATGGTGAGCCCGTTGTGGACTTACCTGGCACAGGAGCGGGGCTGTAACTTGTGTTTTGTACTACTGCAACACCACAGCTTCTACAAGTGCTCACACCCACCATATCACCTGCTTGCTCCTATGTGCACTACAACATACCAATGGACAAACAATAGGTCGGGAGACCTATAAAGACGGAGTCCAAGAACTAACAGTCTGATCCTGCAGGTACAATTACTAAATACATATACCAATATGTGTGTTATTTCATAATAACCCAAGTAGTCACACCCTGAATATAAAGCACTCACATATTTACATTCATATAAAGTTTGAGGATAAAAGTCAATTTATCTAGGTCTGCACTTGTATACTATTTGTGAAAATAAATAATAAAGCTTTAGAAGCTGAATATTATTGCCAGCAAGTGCTTTATAAATCTGCATGCAAGTCAATGCTTAAGTAGGTGTTGTGAAGAGTGTGTGAGAGAGAGAGGAGCCCTGCCCGTCCTCGCCAAGGTGTCCCTGCCACAGTACCTGAACGGGAGGAGGAACTTGTAGGGCCCGAGCCTGCCCGACCCTCTCCACCGTGGCCACGCCCTTCACTGGGCGCTGCTTGGTGCCCTCCTCAGGCGTGTCGAGGGAGCGGCCGGACACCAGCGCCACCGCTAAAGCCGCAGTCATCAACACAACCTTCATGACTGGCAAGGAGATGGGCTGTTAGTGAGTGGAGAACATCATGACTGTACGCTACAACACACTCGGGAAGTAATAATAAAAAACGATAATAAGTCACACATTTTTCTAAAGATAAAAATAAAACCTACAGGTCTATTATAGAATAAAGGATTTTTGATAATATAGCCTTCTGAATTATATGAAAACACGTGAATTGGTTATTTAGTTCTCATCCGGCACCTGTTCATTCCCAGGGGCCCACCACCACGAGGACTCGCTACGCAAACATCTTAAGTGAACCAGGTAGCAGACAAGGAGGGTGTTGGTGCAGTAGCAACACTCGCTGGCTTGTTGAGAACACAACATGACCTTTCTCTGAGCAGTGCTGGAGAAGTTGGCTCTCACTAATACACAAAGAACTCCCATTGTCCATAATGATTGACAAGAACAATGAGAAACTTCATTTCTTGTTCAGGGAATCTTGAGGCAGCGAGAACGTGGTGAGTAGTGTCTGGGAAGATCATTGCGTGGAGGGATGGTGATATACGTGTCTAACAACCGCGTGCAATAACGAGGCATGGTCAATAATTTACCAATATTCTTAGCCCAGCCACTTGGGATGGACGGTAGAGCGACGGACTCGCTTCATGCAGGTCGGTGTTCAATCCTTGACCGTCCAAGTGGCTGAGCACCATTCCTCCCCCCCCCCCGTCCCATCCCAAATCCTTATCCTGACCTCTTTTAAGTGCTATATAGTCGTAATAGCTTGGCGCTTTCTCCCGCTAATTACCTTACCTTACCAATATTCTTACCGTTAAGTGTTCTTAGGGGTTGATGTTTTCTGTGAGTCCATTGTATAACATTGGGTCCTCTAACATTTCGATGGTGTTCCACACCCTGATGGCTTGGTGCTGCAGTCTGATGTTTAGTGGCTGTATGTTCAAGAGTTCGTGGAGCTCCTGGATTGTCTGGTCATATGGTGGACGGTGTTTTGCTGCTCTCCTTAGCGCCTTATTCTGTACTGCTTACAGTTTCTGCATGTTAGTTTTCTTTATGGTGTGTAGTGGTACTGGGGGATATTCTAGATGCGGCCGAACTAGAGCCTTATATAGCCCACCCTGCAGCCACCATGCCCTCCCCCACCCTGCAGCCACCATGCCCTCCCCCACCCTGCAGCCACCATGCCCTCCCCCACCCTGCAGCCACCATGCCCTCCCCCACCCTGCAGCCACCATGCCCTCCCCCACCCTGCAACCACCATGCCCTCCCCCACCCTGCAGCCACCATGCCCTCCCCCACCCTGCAGCCACCATGCCCTCCCCCACCCTGCAGCCACCATGCCCTCCCCAACCCTGCAGCCACCATGCCCTCCCCCACCCAGCAGCCACCATGCCCTCCCCCACCCTGCAGCCACCATGCCCTCCCCCACCCTGCAGCCACCATGCCCTCCCCCACCCTGCAACCACCATGCCCTCCCCCACCCAGCAGCCACCATGCCCTCCCCCACCCAGCAGCCACCATGCCCTCCCCCACCCAGCAGCCACCATGCCCTCCCCCACCCAGCAGCCACCATGCCCTCCCCCACCATGCCCCCACCAGTACCTCCGCTAGAGGACTCTCACACAGCGCCTGGGCCAGACAGACTGGCCAAATTCCAAGCGAAACTTTCACCGTCATTCCTGGCAGTGGTCTTCCCTTGGCATCTGGGTATGCTTTCCTTTCATTCTTTGTCTTCCTTCTTTCCTTCCCCCTGCTGTTTCTTCTTCGCTTCTTTTCTTTCTCTTCCCTTCATCTCCACCCTTTCCCTCCCTCCTCTTCCGTTCCTTCCTTCTCAAATAAAAAGACATCAGCTCTAACAACAACTACAAGAGTCAAGACTTGGGACGAGGTCTTAAAGGCAAGACTTATGGAGGCATATACAACGTAACCAGCTAATTTAAACAAAATATATTTCTCCACAAAATATGGACGACTGAGATGCAGTTCAGAACGCGGAAGTTTGTGCTCACAACACAATAAATGTGACAGACGATAAAAAAAATGAATAAGACAATGAGACTCTATGAGGCTCACATGCCCACGACCAGACAACACCAGTTACAGCCCCGCTCCTGTGCCAGGTAAGTTCACTACGGGCTCTCCATAGCCCGTGCTACTTGGAACTTTGTGTTCTGAGGACCTGAATCTAAAACAACAAGAAGAACAAACTCCAGACAAACTGCCCAATCATCGCAAGCCTTCACCGTGAATGGCTGGGGAAGCAAGGAACTCACTAAAAGGGGAAGAGTCTTAGAGGATTAAGCCGGTCGAAGTAGCAGAAAGCAACTTCCTAATACAACTCGTGCGTCTCAGAGAACAAGTGAAGGAGAGAAAGAGACTTCTCAACCAAACTTGACCTGGTATTCTCCCAAAATAAAACTATCATTGAGAGTATAGAAATGAGGGACAACTTGGGACCAATGACCTCAGAGTCCTGGGATTTTTCTCACTCCATTAAACAACCGTCAGTGGGCTAGGTGGGACTCAGAAAACAGCCTTCCACTGATAGTACATTTAGGTGAGCACATGAACACGCAGACACGCACTCTCAGGTGTGTGCACCATTGGCTTAGTAGGCCATGTCAATATCATTTTCTCTACTAAAAACTAATTATTATAATTCTTTACTTTCCCTGAAAGTATGAGCGAGGTCGTCGCAGCAGATGCGTGACATACAGAGAGAGAGAGAGAGAGAGAGAGAGAGAGAGAGAGAGAGAGAGAGAGAGAGAGAGAGAGAGAGAGAGAGAGAGAGAGAGAGAGAGAGAGAGAGAGAGAGAGAGAGAGAGAGAGAGGAGAGAGAGAGAGAGAGAGCGCGCAAGAGGGAGGGCAGCCTGGCATCTGAGTAACTTAGTGGTGGATCAATTATTCGAATGTTTCATGTCCCCAAGAAAAAGAGCCTCACAGCTGTCGCACAATTAAATCACGAATATTAGCGTGTGTAAGGCAGCGTGGGCAGAAAAAGAGAAAGGTAGTGATCTCTCTAGAGTTCCTTTCGCTGGAGCGTGAATTAGAAAGCCAGATGCACACAAGCTAATGAAGGAAAGTACCTTAATTGTGGCCCGCTACTGATGGGGCTGGTATGCCTGGTTCTCTGTCTCCGTCGACTGTATGGCAATTGTTAGAGGGGCGGGGGAAATTCCCGGCTGGGCGAGTAATAATTAGTGTAGATATTCTCCCCCCTATGCTCTCACTCACTTTCCCAGTCACTCACTCACTCCCACTTGTCACTAGCAGCTGTGCCTGTCACGCTCTCATAACCGTCAATGAGGCAGGCATCCGGATGGGAGTACACATGAGGGCTGCACGTTAGCACCAACTCAACTAAACAAGTGCATCATAAACACAGATGAACACTACGGTCGTCAGCACCCCTCCAGGTGCTGGCACGCCTAAGGCGACAAACTAACCATCTTGTAAGTAACTGTCAGTGTTATGGGCGGTGTTTGGGGTCAGAGGCCATGTGAAGCGGTTGATGGTGAAGTGGTTCACCACCAGACTCCCCTTCACCACCTCTATTTATTTATTTATTTATTTATTTATTTATTTATTTATTTATTTATTTATTTATTTATATACAAGAAGGTACATTGGGGATTAACAAAGAATACAGGAATTAAGTTGAATTTACATTCTTGTAAAGCCACTAGCACGCATAGCGTTTCGGGCAAGTCCTTAAACTAACAGAATTTTTGTTTTAGATAAATTAACAGTAAAATTGATAAAAAATGTTTACAGGTACTTTACACTACCACACTACCCCTCTCTCTCTCCCATGGTGCTCAGAAAGCACTATCATTATGCAAGCAGATGTGAACATGTTTGGCTCTGGTTACTACCACAATGTCTCCGCTTCGCCAGGCTAAAGCTTACCTAAACAAATGAACGCAGACGTCAAAGCAACGGCTTTCTTGAGCTAAAACACTGTACAGTATGTTGACCAGACCACACATTAGAAGGTAAAGTGACGACGACGTTTCGGTCCGTCCTGGACCATTCTCAAGTCGATTGGTCAACATACTTGAGCCACGTTATTGTGACTCATCGCCTGCACTGTACAGTATATAAGATAGTCACCAAGCTTCACCAAAATACACCAGTTTAAACCCATCATATACAATATTTCAATAAACTTAATAAAAAATACTTGGTAGCCGAGGAATATTTCTCTGAAGTGTTTCTTATGGCTGACTTATAAGTGGAAAGATGATATTGTGACCCCTATGGGTAGGTGAGGTAACGAAGGTAGGAGGAGTTCAACACCGTTTATCATCCTCCAGTTCACTATACGGTCATCATCAATGAATTTACCATTTTTCTATAGTGACCACGACGGGGACAGGAAGCCGGCGGTTTGTGAAAGGTCCGTTCGTTATTCATGAAGATTTTCTCCAACAAAATTTTGAACTGGAGTCAAAATGTCTTGACATATACGTCTTCGGCGGGTAGGCGGTTCCATGCGTTTATCCTCGTGTAATAAGCCAAATAATTTCGCCGTTGACTCTTGTAGCGTCTTGGCTGAATGGTTAAGAAGAACACGAAGTGTGGTAGTCTCTCTGCCCACTGACCATCAGTGTGGTAGTCTGACTGACCATTGAAGGAGTTTCAATGACCAACGACCGGAACGTAAATTAGTAAACTTCCCCACCATCCCCTCCTACCCCCCCCTCCTGTTTGACATAGGCCTAGGCCTAAGGTCTAGTCTTCAGTGCGCCAAGTAGATCAGCTACAGAGGCACTAAGTGTGCACCGCCCCTCCTACCAACTGTGGTAGGCCCTAGACGTGTGGATTGGCCAGAAATTAAGGCAGCAATTGTTAATGTGGCAATATCGAGGCCTGCTGAGGGGAAGTTGTGAGGTAGGAGTTCTGACGTAGGTTGGGTCGCCTCGCGGTACCTGAAGCCTGGGGCCCCACGCGCGTGAAAAATAGCCTTTGTGCCCTCCCTACCCAAGGTCGTGGTCTGTGTGCGCGACTAGTGTGTTTACACAAG